AGAATTGGGTTAAAGGATGCCAATTTTTTTGCAAGTTCCACATTTTCCCCTTCTTTGGATCTTTTTGTTTAGGAGGGTTTTTTTAAATTCAAAAAGTTGAAAACCCCGGAAAAGGTTTTAGTGGAGGGGGAAATTTTTTGGGATGCCGGGTTTGGGGAAATTGTTTTTAAAAGGCGGGTGTTATAGGGCTTTAAGTTCTGGCACCAGCCATTATGTTCGGGGGGGTTTGGATTTAAAGTTTTAAAAAATTTTTTTTTTTTCTTTTTTTTTTTGGGTTAGCCTTTTGGAAGGGAAGCACCCCCCCCCGCCTTTTTTAGGGGTTCCCATCGCCCTCAGTAGGGCCCCCCCCCCCCCCACTCCTCCACCCACGGCACGGCGCATGCATATCGTTGTCCGCCGTCAACATCACCGCTTCTCTCCCTTCGCTTCGCTTCGGCCTATTATCCCCACCAACATCACATACACATGCCGTCATCACCGTCATCACCGTCATCACTTGTAGCACGTTGACGACTACGATTTCCCGCTATTTCCCTCTGCCTCACCCTCATCCGGTACTGTACCTCTGTGGGCGACTCGTACCTCCAATACACCCCTCATTTCCATGCATACCCCCGCCACTGCTGCTCTCGTTGGCGCCGTCAAGAAGCACCGCCTCGCTCGAAGGGTCCAGCACGGGAAAGACGACGGGCACCGCCATTTTCGAAAATGCCACCTCTCCGGCCCCTTCCCCAAGATTCCACCGCCACCTCCCGGCTGTGGCCAGTTGTTTGGCTGGAGAATATACATCTTGTAGTGCCACCCCTATTAGACATTCCGTCCGACACGGTGGCCTGGCCAAAGGGGGAGTGCGGAAGTCTGTAACGTGCAGCGGACGACAGGTCCGCTTAGTTAAGACGGTGTTGAATGTTCAAGTTTTCAACACGACAATCTCAAGTATGCAGTGGCACCATCCAGACTACGTAGATGTCCTCATGCTTGCCTTGTGATGGCAACGCGTCTATTTTTTTTTCTCTCTTTCTTCTGTTTCCAATTACACAAGGAATTTTGGTGCCCTTTTCGATACCCTTTTCGATACCAGGTCAGAGTAGTAATTGAATTATCTTCTCCCTTGGCCTGCATGCAAAAATCAATACTACCAGACAACGTTCAGCTTCGTTGGCGCGCGGACCTGGTTGGCGCCAAGTTCCCAACGAGCCCTCGGTGCATTGGCCCTAAGCACGATGCACCGAGGACACGGTTGGTTGCGGATGCATCGCGTTCGAGGTCGCCCCAACCTCGTCGGATGGTGATTTGTTCGGATGCGCACAACCGGCGGCAAACCGTCAAAGCGCGCCCACCGATCGGTAGCTCAGGCTAAATATCGAACCACGGAAAATGTTCCGTGCCGTTGCTCGCAATAATGCCTTTTCTTGAGTGTTCGTTCTGGACCGTTCTCTGCCCTTGCCCGCTTTAATGCAGGAGGACAACAATGACGAGGACAACGACGGCAGGGACGACGGGGATCGTGCCTATCCTGCCTATCATCGTGCTCCTTGCTCTTGGCGGAACCTCGGTCTACGCCGGCTCGGCTTTCAGGGGCAGGGGCGTTCAGAATGAGGTAGATCGAGCACTTGTTTCCTCTCGATGCTTCGCGGCATACCGTATTCGAAATTTTCAAACCAGATGCAAAGGAGCGAAAAGTCTTCGCCATACTAATATTGTATTGTAGGCGTCAGTTCTTGACCTTTCAGTATTTTCTTGGCGCAAGAGCCGGGGCCATACAGGATGAACCAACAACATATTCTACCCAAGTAAGGGTCAAGTGGCCGATGCACAAGAGTTTCTTCGTGCTACTGCAAAGGTTTGTTAGTTATCCCTCAAAGTTTGTGTTGTACCGCTTTCGAAAGACTATCCCCTGCCGACAAGTTTACACGGCGCCAACGCGCTGCGGACCATGTTAATGGCAACGCATCGCTGTCCACCCTCGCTGTTCACCCTCCTCGCGGTTCGTGTGCCGCCTTACTTGAAGGACTCTCCGCGTACCGCTCGTGGTCACGTGTGGCGCCAGGTACCTCAGGTGTATGTGACACATGTAGATATTTTCAACGTTTGTTTCTAGCTGTGGTGCTCGACCGGTACTTTCGCCGAAGATCTGAGTTGTCGCTGGGAAAGCGCGAGTTCGGAACTTTCTTTTGTTCCTCATCATGATGAAAAACTTGCACTACACTCGGAGTTTTCTTCCGCTTTTTGTTGAGTGGCTATGTACCCAACGTTTTTTTCTCGGCGCGTTGTGGAGCGATGCCTGATTGTTATTCGAAGTAAAATTCTGAGGATGGTCACACGACGCGTGCCGTTGGCGGAAGGGCATTAAAATGCGTACGAAACCCTTGGGCTCGGACGACTGTTGAGACTACCGCGCTGCGTCATGGGCGGATCGAAGGATAAGGTTGTTCCCGTTTAAGAGTACGTCGACGCACATGTAAAGCTTGCCTACTTTGACCGTCTTTGACAACAGGAAAACCTCGAACTCCTCGCCGACGCTGAAACGATCAACATCAATTGGCGCAGCCTCCAAGGTAAGAAGAAGAGGTCGGGAAGAACGCCGACAACATAGTATGCTTGTCACTGCTCAGTTGGTGAAAAACTAGCGTGTCTTCAATACACTTTCGATACAGAAGCGCGCGTGTATTGAGGCGGACACGATCATCCCTGGGCACCCTATGTTCCTCTGCTACCCTCGACGCACGGGCCCCCCCTGTTTGGTTTGAAAGATCAATGTCTTTTGTAGCTGTAGACCAGAAAGCAGCCACTTGAGGCGGGGCTCTTTTGCCCGGGGTAGAGCAGTCGGCGCTTCAGCCCGGGGTAGAGCAGTTGACGCTCCAGCGCTACGCCGAGGTCACGCCGAAGTGTTCTATAGGCTACCTTCAGTTCGGCTGCCCATCCATCGAAATGCCTCCATCGAATGATCTCTCCATTCCTGCAGGCCCGTCTCCGCGGGTCCAAAAATACCACCGGCCCTTCCTCGATCAATTAGTTATTGTGTTGAAGAGGATGGCACTCCGCCACCACCACCACCACCACCACCGTACTTACTGTGCAGTCCTTGCTGAAGACACGTGCCACGTGGAAGGAGTAGAGGGCGTGTCCGGCGATGGCGTGTACTGCTGTCCCCTCGGCTGCGGGCAGTGCGGAGGAATCGGGTGCGGTAGCCGCGACGAGTCCCTCATCTTCCGTGACCCCAGGAGGGAGCTTCCGGCCGGCGCCGGCACTTCGTCGTACTGCTGCCTGAGCGCGTTCGATAGCAGTACGGCGGTGTGCGGCGATCTGGGTGTCGAGCCCCCCTGCCTTATCCCCGAAGGTGGGAATACGTGATTTGTCCAAAAAAGAGGCACTCAACGTTTGTAAGTCCCACTCGCCCAACATCTTTCTTCTTCAACTCTTCCTACTTTATGTAGTCATCAAATCTGTTCTTCTGTTGTCTGCAACTATATTTAGAAGTACTGTTGTAGTAGTCGGAAGCGGCATTTTCCTGTGAGCTCTACGAGGAGTTCAGTACTTTCCCCCGCCCCCCCCCGGTGTTTGCCGTCGGGGTTGGGTTTTCGTCGCTTGGCAGCGATGTTGTAAAACAAGCCGATCACTCCGCGAGCTTGGCAACCAGGTTATTGCCGCTTTGTTTTTTGCCTTCGTTTTTTTTTTCGGTAACCATGAATGATGGTCGAGTAGATCATGTTGTGCGGGGTCGAGAACCCTCACTCCGCGCAAAGGGGATGGTCGTACCACGTTGTGTTAAATTGGTCAACAGCCTCGAGGCAGTTACACAGTGCTTACAACTGTCTCTGGAAGTCAAAGCACCAGAAAACAAATTAAGTCATACGCAGCTGTCATCCGTACGCAAGGAAGTAGGCACAAGACGCCGAACACCCTTAGCAGGATGCAGCGCACCCTTCATGCGACTCGCCGAATACCTCACGGCGCTTCGCTCTTGGTGATGTGAGAACCTGGTCCGGTGAGAACCCGGCGTTCTCCGTCCCGGCTTTGTAGGGATGCGAGGTCAATGGTCTAACGACTACGGCATGCACGACTATGAGTACACCCCCCCCCCCTTGCCCCCCGCCCCCCATATTGCCACCCGCGGGACGGTGGCCGAGAGCAGGAGCGGCTCGCCCGCCGATCGCGCCTACGGATGGTGGTGATGCCATCGATGGCACTACTACCGATGGCACTACTACTCCCGATGGCACTGATGGCCGTGTGGGTGGTGCCAGGGACCGCCCAGCCCACCCCCAAAGGAAACATGACGGTGAGACGGACACTATCTATCGCTGCCGCTTCGGCCGCTGGTGTTGTATGTATAGTAGTTGGTGGAGTTATCGATGGTGATTTACTTTGTCGTGGTCGTTGTGGCCGTCGTCGTCATCGTTCTTGCTTTGCCGTTGCTGCTGCTGCGTTGTTGGTGTGATGAGGGTGTGCTCTTGTTGTTCACGAAAGGCACCAAGATATCCAGATATCCAGATATTGGTTGACACCAGCCTTTGAGAGGCAAACCAGATGGAAGTCCTCGTGTAGCCGCCTCTCCCAGCAGTTGCCTCTCGGACAGATCCTGGTGTGTCGACGCCATGTGCGCCTTGGTGACCCGCTAGACCATGTTCCTAGCACGCCAAAAAAAAAAACATACACAAAAGGCACGCACCAGACCAAACAATATTGTCGTCAACAAAAATATCTTCTCGCTTCGGGGTCCTTACAGAGTAAGTCCAATCTCTTCACCCCCCACCCTCCCTCTCCTCCTGCCCCTACCGTGTTCACAAAGTGTCCTCTTCCCACAGGCCATCATGGAGGGCGAAGATTGACCGATTACGCCGCTCACGTGAGCACCTATGAGCAGGCAGGGTGATTTTTCTGACCGGCGGGAGAAGACGGAGACGGGGTCGGACCCGGAGATGGCGACGGCGAACAGGAGGAGCGGGCGACCTTCACAACTGTCGATTCGTTCGCCTTTGTTTTCCAAATGAGCTCGGTATGCCCGGGACTGACTACGGTGTCCGATCGACGTCGGAACCACCTCCAGTTACCTCTCTCTTGGTGTTTGCCTTTGAAAATAATGATGATGCCATTTTCGAATTTGCAACGTTTCTCTTTGTATGTATTGAATTTTTCGAAGAGTCTGAAATAACTCCAGTCTGATAGATCTGTGCCTTGTCGACTTATGCGGCAATGTCTAAGGCTAGCCTCTGTAGTTGCTACTGCGCTGTTGTTGTAGCTCATGTTTTTTTCACACCAAAAAACCGTCAGCGGTCTCTGCCCATCCCCATCAAGAACTACCACGTAGTGATAGTGTCCATACCTGCGCGGTCCAGTGGGTAGACGTTTAAGTTTTTGTATGGTGGAAGCAGAATCCCTTGGAAGGAAAGTACGGGCCGTATTATTGTGTCATGTGATAATGATCACGCGTGAATTTATCGTATGTGCGCTGACAGTAAGCACGGTCGTCAATTGATTAAATTGTATTGTCTGTGGTACCTGTTCACAGAGAGGAGCGTCGTGATTCACTGAGGCTAAAAAAAGTGAATGAATGCGGGGAACGATTGGTCGGTCGCAGACCAAAAAAAGAGGAACGGTGGCTGGTCCACGTATCTTCGTTAAGAAACAAAAACAAATCCCTCCTTATCCTTTCAAAGCGGTTGACGGGTTCCTTCGTATTGTTTCGTTGGATCGGCAATACATCGATCTCGGTACTTTTCTCTCTATCCGACGTTCGCGGGGTTGGTTTGTCTGAGGAAAGTAGGGCCGGCCTCAGACTTGCCGTCTCGCTGTTGTCAAGTACGACCATCGTTGCCAGACCTCACATCACAATCGTTCCGCGGTGCATGCGCGCGTGCCTCTGCTTCAATGTTCATCGTGAGAGAGAGCAGCAATGCCCGGACAAGGTGGACAGAAAACAAACCACCCGCTGTATACGACTTTGCTGCATGGCAATCTTGACGCTTTCTCTCACTCTGAGTAAAACATACCACGTCTTACGGAAGCAGAATAATTGCGAACAGTGTCCGCATGGTAGGATCTTCGCCTGGCACCTGTTGCTGCCACCTTAACAACAGGACAGCCTTCCGGGCACCTACCGTATATGACACAAGATAACACACCCCCTGGGCCGATTTTCAAAGCTCGATTTCTCAACAGCAGGAAGATTCACAGCGCCGAAAACGGCGGCGTTGGAACCGTCTCGTCGAGAGGTTTTCGAAAATGTATTGTTTCGTTTATGCATCCTCTTCGTCGTGGAGTAATCGAGCTTTGAAAATCGGTCCAGGGGGTGTGTTATCTTGTGTCATATACGGTATATCCGGCATTATACATCTATATCTCCTGTCCTTGCTTATCTCCAGGAAGAATGAACAAATGAATCACCCATCATCCAAAACCAAGCCACAAGATACGTAGTAGGCAATTACCAAAAAATAAGCCACGCAAGTAAACATGAGACAGAATCCAGAAACAATTATTTGCCACCATCGCGGGAAAAGAGAAAAAAGTTCCCCCCAAAACAAGGCACAACAACAACAAACCAAGGGAGGCCGAAAGAGCAAGGGTCTCGGGGAAAACAAAACAAAACAGTACGCCTCCCAAAAGAACCACCATGCATGTAGAGCTCCTCAACTACTCTCGGAGTCTGAGCCAAAAAAAAAAGGCAGCCAATCCTTGTAAAGCTCCTCGCTTAGTCAGCTGCAACTCGGAATCTGGACCAAGACACAGTAATTAATATAATCGGAATCGGAGCGAAACAACGATAATCCAATCAATTGTGGAAAATAATTTTCATTGGAATCCTCTCGCGAACCCCCAAGGAGCCGGGGAACGTTCTACGAACATTCATCGATCATGGTTTCGCTTCGCTTGGTGTTCTTCGCTGCCCGGTTCCACACACTGTAGACACGAGAAAGGCCCCGCCTCTGAACATCCCGCAGGTGTAGTACTTGGAGCACGCATATATTGCAGACAAGCCCCGGCCCAAACGTAAAAGTGTAAGTTGTCGGCGAGTTCGTTCAGCCCTCCAAGGGCCGATGCACAAGCCGACCATAAAAACATTTTTTCCCCTTTGCCCGCCCCGGGCTACACACCCTGTAGACACGGGGAAGGGCCCGTCTCCGAACAATTCGCAGATAGTTGGAGAATACTTCGGCAGACAAGCCTCGGTCCAAACTTTGAAGTTGTCGGCTACTTGGTTCAGCCCTCCAAGGGTCAATAAATAGCACCAGCCGACCAAACAAGCACATTTCGCGATGCCCCCCCCCCCCACACACACACTCTCCTTAGACTACCTCAGAAGCAAAAGAAGCAAAAAAAAAACAATACACTCCAAGAACGTGATGATGGGATGATTTAGCTCCCCATGGCACACACGCGCACGTCCTTCGCCCCCCCCCCCCGCTG